TTAACTAGTTTTTTAAAAATTTTTAAAATTTTAAATTTTAATAAATTAACATATGAGATTTTTCCTGGAAAAAAAAAACACGTAAGTCAATTCCAGTAGCATCCCTGGTATTTACCATTTTGCCTTTAAATTCAGGAGGGGGTGAAGAAGTGGACTGCAAGGTTTTTACTGTTTAGGAATGTTTTCTACCAAATGGAGGAGGGGAAGTTTTCCTATTTTTTAAGTAGGGCATTTTTAGTACTTAAGAAGAAGGGAAGCTGACCAATAAACCCCTAACAGGAGGTACAGTGCTATGATTTGCCAAGTCTTTTGTGCAGTCAGACTGGTCTAGTATACAGGATTTTCCCAACTTATGCTGGATCCTTGAGAAGGCCTATAAATAAGACCATTTGTTTGGTCTCAAGATGACTTGCATTTGCAAACTGAAGAATGTTCCAATAGAAGTTTCATGGTGACGCACCAATCTGCAAACTGGCTCAGCCAGTAGTCAAAACAAGTCACTACAAGATCTGGGGAGCTGAAGTCTTTGAATGGGTCAGATTATCCCACGTCTAATTTGGCACAGATAAATTTGGGCTATAAATATGCAGCCTTCCTTTGTATTTTCAACTTGAATGGGCTGAAGGAAATGAGGAAAATGTGTGTGAACCTAAGGGTGATTCAGAAACATGAGATTACTGTAGTGAAGCTGAAAGTTACTCATTTATGGTAGGGTCATTCTGTTTATTAACTGAGCAATAGTTCATTTCCGAGATTGGAAAATATCCTATTCTTTTTTCTGCCTTTATTGGGATATTGACATATACCACATGTAAGTTTAAGGTGTACAATGTGGTAATTTGATACATGTATATATTGAGATGATTACCATAATAATCACCTATACCCCCAAGTATAATTACCTTGTGTGTGTATGTGTTGATAACATTTAAGATCTACTCTCTAAACAAATTTCAAGTAAATAATACAGTGCTGTTAATTACAGTCACCATATGGTAGATAAGCCCCAGAACTTACTCCTCTTATAGCTGGAAATTTGTACACTGTGACCCACATCTCTCCATTTCACCCACCCCGCAGCCCTGACAGCCACCATTCTGCTCTCCATTTCTATGAGTCAGCTTCTTTAGATGTCACATATAAGTGACATTATGCACTGTTTATCTTATTCTGTCTGATCTATTTCACTTAGTATAATTCTCTCAAGGTCCGTCTATGTCATCACAAAAGACAGGGCTTCCTTCTTTTTAATGGCTGAATAATATTCCATTGTGTATATATCACATTTCCTCTATCAATTTATCTGTCAATAGACACTTAGGTTGTTCCCCTACCTTGGCTATTGTAAACATTGCTGCAGTTAACATGGGGGTGCAGATATATCTTCAAGATAGTGATTTCCTTTTTTTTTTTTTCAGATATATACCCAGAAGGGGGATTGCTGGATCACATGGCAATTTTATTTTTGATTTTTTAGGAACCTCCATACCATTTTCTATAGTGTCTGTAGTAATTTACATTCCCACCCACAGTGCACAAGGGTTCATTTTTCTCCACAGCCTCACCAACACTTGTTTCATATCTTTTTGTTTTGATAACAGCCATTCTGACAGGTGATATCTCATTGTGGTTTTGATTTGTATTTCTGTGATGATTAATGATGTTGAGCATCTTTTCATGGATCTGTTGGCTATTCATAGGTCTTCTTTGGAAAAATGTCTATATTCTCTGCCCATTTTTAATCAAATTATTTGGAGTGGGTTTGTTTTTTTTTTTTTTTTTTTGCTATTTTTTATGAATTCCTTCTATGTTTTGAATATTAACCCCTTATCAGATAGGTGGTTTGCAAATATTTCTCTCATCCCATACGTTGTGTTTTTATTGCACAGTGCAGAAGCTTTTTAGTTTGCTGTAGTCTCATTTTCTATTTTGCTTTTCTTCTTTCGCATTTGGTGTCCTATCCAAAAAAATCATTGCCCAGACCAATGTCAAAGAACTTTACCTCTATATTTCCATCTAGGTTTTTTACAGTTTTAGGTCTTATATTGAAGTCTTTAATTCATTTCCAGTCCTTTTTTATGAGTGTTATAAGATAAGGGTCCAATTTCATTCCTTTGCGTGTACATATCCAGTTTTCCCAACACCATTTATTGAAAAAACTGTCCTTTCTCCATTGAGTATTCTTATCTCCCTTGTCAAACATTAGTTCACTGTATATGCAAGGGTTTATTTTTGGGCTCTCAGTTTTGTTCCATTGATCTATGTATCTGTTTTTATGCCAGTGCCATACTGCTTTGATGACTATAGCTTTGTAATATAGTTTGAAATCAGAATATATGATGCCTCCAACTTTATTCTTCTTTCTCAGAATTGCTTTGGTTATTTGGGTCTTCTGTGATTTCAGACAAATTCTTGGATTTTTTTCTTCTATTTCTGTGGGAAAAAAATCCCATTGTTTTGATAGAGATTGCATAGAGCTCATAGGTGGCTTTGGGTAGAGTGGCCATTTTAATGTAATTAATTCTTCCAGTTCGTGAACACAAGATCTCTTTCCATTTATTTGTGTTTTCTTCAAGTTCTTTCATCAATGTTTTATAATTTTTACAATGTCTTGTAATTTGTTCTTCAGTTAATACATGAGTGCTTAAATTAATCTGAACATCTGTAATTGTAAGCTGGAAATTGAGTCATTTAATAACATTTAGCTCTGGGAAGGATAAACACTCACAAGACTCCTGGTTTTCATAGGAGTTTGTGTGCATAATGCAGGAGTCCCACGCCTAAGCACCTACAAGACAGGCAGGTGATGCAAACTAGAGGTGTGGACCTGCCGAGTGCCTGCCTCAGCTAAGAAAGAAGCTCCTTATTGCTGCTTGCCAATTAATGCCAGTTGTTCCAAATTTTCAAGGGACTTGTATTATAAAAACTTTCCTAATTTAAAAAATGTTGGCAAGCAGTTCAAAATTTTAAGAAGCTGTGAGCCAAACAGAAGAGGTCTAGAAGCTGGATTTAACCTGCAAGCCACCACTTTGTACATTTTACCATTTCACAGTAAATGAGCGACAGTTCTGCAAATGTCTTCAAACGATAACCTCAGAATACCCCATCCCCTCCAGTCGCCGGCACTGAAAAGCGGGACTTCTCCTAAGGTCACATCGATCATTGGAGTTGTTCTTCTAAAATGGACAGTTTCCTCCTGCTAGAGATTTGATTTGATGGTGTCAGCATATGAGGTTCCCGTCACCTCATGACATGTCTTCTTTCAGGCCTGATGGGATTGGAACTGTGACTGTTGAGGAAAAGGAACGTTTTGAAGAAATCAAAGAGAGACTCCGCATCCTGCTGGAAAATCAGATAACACATTTTAGGTAAGGATCTGGGGCGAAAGGGCTTTTTAGGAGGGTGAGACTGGGAAAGGGCAAATTAAGGGCTTGATTTGCTAAAACTGTAAAGTTATCAGGGACACACTGATAGTTAGAAATAGCTGAATGAAAAAGCAAACCAAGACAGGGTTCCCCAATAGCCAGGAGACTAGGAAATCTTAAGGTCATTTTATTTCCACTGAAAGGACAAAGCTCTCCTCGTGTAAGCTGACCCCAATCATCAATCTGTCTAAAAGAATCTACTACAACATTGGATGTGATGCTTTTTCAAGGCTTCCAAACAAAACAGTGCAAAATCCTGTGAATCAATTCACTTGAACAGAGAAGGAAGGCAGTGGTACCCAGAAGAGCATCTCCACCTTCTCCATTACCTGGAAACAGGACTAGCTGGCTATGCACAGGAAGAAATGTGCATCAGCCTTGACACACTCAAGGCAGCCAGTGGACCCAGCATTTGAGCCTTGCACAGCACAGCCCACTTCTCCCTTAGAGTAAATGACACATTTTTAATGCTGCCCTGGTGGTTTTGGACCAGAGATCTTGGAATAGGAGCTCATAGATAATAAGACCTTTTATAATAACATAATAAGTAGTTCCTATTTATTAAATCCTTCTGTGTGTTAGAGAACTAGAACTCATTTTTTTTAAATTCTCAGAACAATTTTTAAGGTAGTTATTATAATCTCCAGTTTAAAAGGAGTAAACTGAGGCTGAGAGAGGTTAAGTAACTTGCCCCAGGCCACTCAGCCAGCAAGTGGAAGAAGTGAGATGCATACACAGGATATTCTAGGTGTCCCCAGCCCATCCTGCTCCCTTTGTGCCACAAGGGGGAGTGTCCCGAAGGGCTTGTGACAGCCTGAAATAGTCATTAGAACTCTCAGTGGTACCTGATACGGTTCTATGTCTGTGCCATCAAAAACCTCCTGGATAAATCTTTATTGGCCATACACCCTATGCAACGTTCATTGCCGGTAACACAAGATCGAATAACAGTTAAAACCTACCATCAAGGAAGGGCAATTAGTAGAATCACAAATTTGCTCAAAATACACTCTTTTATTTCCTATCTTAATTTTGGGGGTGGGGATTTAAGTAAGTGTGTTTGGATTTGTGCCTGTTTCAACTAATATTGTTTTAATGCTGGTCTCAATAATAATGTATAAATTTATATTTGAGCTAACAAATGCTTCTCCTTCACAATAGAAATCTAAACAGAGCCTCATGTCATCACTCAAAATATTCTTTTCTGTTGCAGACATTTGTGGAGTCTCTCTTCAGTCATTATTCACACATACACGTATATACATTATATACACACATATATGGTGTGAATTCAGATTAACATAACACAACGTGACAAAATAAAAAGCGCTTTCTGTTCCTCAGAGAGTTGCTATAGGGATCAAATTGCACGAAATATGCTAACATGCGATTGATCTGGGCAACCTGAACATTTCTTCTGTCTTTTTTAGGTATTGCTTTCCGTTTGGTCGACCTGAAGGTGCTTTGAAAGCTACTCTCTCACTCTTGGAAAGGGTAAGAATGAAAGTAAAAGGCAGATGACATATACACAGAGACACGGACATAATTATCATGAAATAGTGTGGTTGAATGACCTGGTTTGTAGTTTTTAAAGGATTTGTTTACCGTTCATCAAATATCAGAATAAATATGAAGAATAGTTAGGATATATTGAAGATCCGTTCCTCGCCCTTCCCTGGTTCATGGACAGGCTTTGACATCCTAACTCTGCACTGGATTTTTTAAAATTTTCTCTTTAACAATGGCTGTTGGTCAATTAAGTTGCAAGGAGGCATCCACAACAAATTTTAAGTTGAATTCTTTAAGAAGTATAAACGAGTAACACACTTGGTTGAACCATCTTGCTGACTTTGTTTTTCCACCTGCAGGTTTTGATGAAAGATATTGTAACCCCAGTGCCACAAGAGGAGGTAAAGACAGTCATCCGTAAATGCTTAGAGCAGGCTGCTTTAGTCAACTATTCTCGGCTATCCGAGTATGCCAAAATCGAAGGTAAGGCCCCCCCTACCCTGTCCCCAGTTTTCCATTTAAATTTTGTTATGCCTCCCTGGGGAAGTCTCTCTCTTTTCTGACGGGCACCAGCAAGCAATGGTCCATCTGAGTATGTTAAGCTGCAACTTGAAAGTACTTGAAATGTGATAGCTTCCTTGGCTGTGGTCAGGTAGCTGAATGGAAGAGCAGGGGCTCAGGAGACAGTCTCTATAGGAAAGAAGATTGAATATAGGATGTGAGCAGTTAATTAAGATCCCTTCAAAGAGTCTACGTTGGCCCTAACTTTGCCCTGTGGCTAATGTTTTCCTCTGAAAGAGTTCTGTAGGATTGCTACCTTCTTTAAAGAGAGGAAAACAAAATATTTGCTTGTCTGCTGTTGATAGCACTGGAAGTGAAATAAGAATTGAAGGAAGCAACATCAAGATTTTGCTTAACCCTCTTCTTGCCCCTTGAAAGTATCTTATCTTTTGGTAGCTTTTCAGACTTGCTGGCAGGTTAGTATCCAGCTGTCTCTGATGGCTCCTGGTTCGCTTTAGATCATGTTCATTCTCGTTGCTCCAAACCCAGGATGGGTGTCATCACTGCCCTCTCAAGTTTTAGGCAAGCGGTCACTGATGACCGAGCAATCACCCAAAGGCACTTTGAGTCCACTCTACTTGAGAAGATATGGTTCTTTGGGACCTATTCATTTACAAAGGTATTAATCACTTTTCATTGTTACCCTGTTGGCTTCTATAGGGTGATTTGAAAGCCACACCCAACTTGACCAGTGGTGTAAGTTGTATAAATGTGGAAGTTCTGTGTGCACAACTCAGTGTGTCCGTATTCTGGAATCTGATGTTCTCTCACATGTGGAATCACCCAGCTGAAACCAGCAAATGCCCATTGTCTGCCTTCAGGACATGACTGGGAAAAATTAAAAAATAAAAATAAAAGAGACCTAATCACCTCCCCAAACCGCATCACTTACCTTGCCGAAGTCCTCGTTTCCTTGGAGAATTAGGTTAAGATCATGTCAAATTCGCAGTGTTTCGTACATTACGCGTCCTCCCTCTCTCAATTTTGTCTGTCTGACGATGCAAATTGTGTACCAGTGGTAATGAATTCATTGTTATGCATCCAGGGAGAAACACTTAAGAATTGGGCACCAAAAGGATGTTTATCAACTCTTGACTTGGTAATGAGTGACAAAAATAGAGGAACAAGAAGATCGTTACAGGGCTACGTTAGCAACTAATTATCCCAGCATTTGCCTCCCCAGGACATAATGATTGGTTGTATTTGGTAAAGTCCACCAGGCACCTAAATAATTCTAGGCAAGGCCAGAGATGGGATAGGATCAAGAAACGTTCGGTCGCCATGTCTGCTGCCTCGTACGTAGGTCTTGGTCTAGCTATTACTAGGCTTTTGGTAAGATCTGCTCTCTTCTTTCAGATAAATATATCCAAAAACAAACTTTAAGACCTGTAAGTAAAAATGCATTCATTTCCAAAGTAGATCAGCTGGTCTGTAATTTCCTTTTGTGCCTCAATTCTTCTTGGTTGTGTTAATTATCTTCTGCACTGTGACTTTTAGGTCTGGGGATTCTTTGAAGAAACCAATCTTTTTTATTTTTTTTTCCAAACTCTCTTTTCAGAGAAGTACCTCATTCCACACTACCTGCTCTCTTCTGCTTCTCTCCTTCCTTGTCCGTGATTGGCTCAGCCACTTTTTGACGTTACTGCTGCAAAAGTGGCTGTGACGCCAATTTCAAAGCATGCTGGGATTGTTAATTCAGACAACCCAACATCCCCTGGCTGCATGTATCAGGTTTTCTTTCATGAACATAGTCCACCATAGGCTGAGGACACTGCAGCTTTAAAGATACCACTACCAGACGGCTTCCTTTTGACGAAGGGTCTGGTCCCAGCCTCAGAAAAGAAATCTTCCGTTTTTACATTTGAGCCCCTCTGTGACCGTTAACAGCTTAGGTCCCTGAGAATTTCGGAAAGAAGTTGTCGTAATATTGCCGGGGACTATGTTTATGAAGAAATACCTCAAGAGCCTTAGATACTAAAGTCTGAAATCCTTAGTATCTTGGAGCCTTCGATCAATGAAATTCTGTTTCCCTTTATTCATGATGTTTTTGGTCATTGTATTCTTGCAAATAATTCTAAAGAGACGTGTAAAATCATGGTCACAATCTCTCTCGTGACTCACGGCATGCTGAATGGTTAATCCAGTAGATCTCCAATTTTGAAACGCCTTTTTCTTTTATCCTGTGTTTATCCCAAAATATTCTGTGGCTATTTTCCTTTGAGCTAATGTAACGTTTTCCTCTAACCTATGACCTTTGACCTCTTTACCTCTGACCTAAGCCTCTTGCATGCCCAAATCCTCTTTTATAGGGAAAAAGAGAGAAATGTATGAGCATCCTGTCTTCTGCTTGGCCTCCCAAGTGATGGATTTAACCATTCGTGAGTACCTACCACCTCCTCGCCATGCTGTCTTCACTCCTTCTGTTTTCATTATTTCAAGAAAATCCAGATCCAAACCAACTCACTCTCCTTGCTTCAAGTTTTTTAGCATTGGCTTGTCTGTTGATTCTGTCTGTGAAACCCAGTGTGAGAAGTCCAGTCACTTTTTATCAGCCTAACACAGGTTAGACAATTATGCCATTTGTTTGTGATCAACTCAGATTTGTCTGTTAAGTGTTTCAGTTATCCTCTGTCTGTGACCTGAATGCATTTTTACTTTGCTTGTGTGTAACCCCAATCTGTAAAGGGCTTGTCACTGGTACACAATCAAAAGGTAGCAGCTAGGTGGGGAGCAATGTGTCAGGTGTCAGGTAAAGGACAGCTGGGGGCAGACCCGTGCCTTCTTTTCCATGTTTTAAGATGTCCAGCTATTGTGGGTATAAGATCACACAAGGTGGTCCATTCTCTGTCAAAATTAGATCTTCTGCGCCTCCTGTCTGTTCTCTCTCAAGCTGGGAAGCTTTTCCTTGTTCTTTCTGGAGATTTTTGACTTGTCCTCGTCCTCAAAGCTCTGGCTAGAACATATGACTTAATTGTCACTTGGATGGTTCATGTATGTTTCATAGATTGATTTCACATGAAACTTAATTTTACTAATTTTCTATTTGTGCAGCATTTTCCACCTCTGTGAAGGAGCCTTTTTTTTTTTTTTGCTGGCCCCCACACTTCCGGGCGGTGGGACCCCCCCAAGGGCAACCTTTTCTTTCCAATATCATGTATCACGCAGAAGTTGGGGGGCATTTGGGTTCACTTGCTCATTAATCCTGCATATGTGTTCTTGTCTCTCTCTCTCTCTCTCTTCTCTCCTCGTCGTGCGCTCTTTTTCAAATAGAGAATCAGAAGGACGCAGGTGAACCCGTTGTCTATGCATTATAAACTATCAGGACTGTGGAGTTATATTCAGTTTTTGTTTTGTTTCCGTTTTTCAATAGCTCCTTAACGTATGTGCTCCCGAAGACTGATGCGGAGTTGCAAGAATCCTTAAGGAGTTAATTTGTGCTGTCTCACTATATCTCATGCCCGCTGGATGTTGACCTCCTCCTAGAGTAGAATTTCGTAAAAAAAGGCCTCAGCTTTGAAGGAACAAAACTCTGATTTGCTGTGGAGCTTCATTTCCTCTTTGGTTTCAGGATTCCAGTGATTTGGCCTCACGGGCTTTTTTTTTTTTTTTAAAGTTTGCCGACCCAAATTAATCTGCCTTTTTGTTTTTCATTTCTTTTTTTTTTTCTTTTCTGTTTTCTGCCCTATTGAGAAGTTTGTGTTCTTTGATGAATGTGTATCAGCCAAACAGAGAGGAGTTGTGTCTGTGTTGTTCTTGTGTGTGTCATGTGATGAGGAAGGATGCACGCTCAGGTGCCCGGACAGGGGCCGTTGCTGGAAGTTTCCTGAGAGGAAAGCTCTTAAAAGTTCTCTGGCTTGGGGTATTTTCTTCTCGTTTGGTCCTGAAGCTTCTGAGCATCTTCTGAGGAGAGCTCTTAACTTAAAACCTTAATCAATATCTAGTATGGGTCATTGCTTTAAGGTCTAAAGGATTCTCAAGATAATTATCATTTAATCAAAGTTGAACGTATTTCAGATCAATTCAGAAAGCATTTTTGAGCACATGCCAAGCACCAGGCTACCAATAAGTATTTGAAGACCCACAAACCTATATTCAAGACATACGAGCCTTTCTCTCCTTGGAAGGGAAGGTATTTATTCATTCACTCATTTATTCATTCATTCATTCATTAGACAGGTGCTTAGTGGGAGCCTACCATATGCCAAGTACAGGGGTAAAAGCCAGGGACTGTGTGAACAAGAGGAAAATAGCTGGAGCATATGTGTAGGCGGGTGAATAAGTGTGAATTGCAAATTCAGTACGCAGCAACACCGATCGGCAGAGTTATGTCTAAGAGGGCACTGTCAGGAAGCCATGGGAGTCTTCACGAGGGTGGTAAGCTTGAGCTGCATCCTGAAAGATGAGGTAGAATCAGTGAAAGGGAGATGGGATTGGAAAGAGGAGAGGCGTCATAGATAAAGAGAGTGGCATGTGCAAATACCTAAAACCGTAGAGCTCGTAAAAACAGCTAAAGCTTATGCAGTGTGTATTTCAGGCCACATACAACTCTAAGTACTTGACATGCGTTCATGCATTTAATCATTTTGAGTCCATAAAACCCCTCATGAGGTAGATGCTACTATTATTCCCATTTTACAGATGAGCAAACTGAGGTATGGAGAGGTTAAATAACACGCTCCTAGAAGAGTAAGTGGGAGCGCCAGAATCTGAGTCCAGGTAGAGGCCACACTCTTAATGACTCTGTAATTCAGTGTGGTTGCAAAAGTAGGTGAAATGATGGCAGAAATGGGTGCTGATGGTGGCAACAGAGGCCAGAGGCATGACCTCAGAGGCCTTTACGTGCTTTCGTGATACAGAGTTCAGACTGTGTCTCATGGCCCAGAGTTTCCTCACCTGGAATCTATACCAACTTTTGCACGTGTATGGATTTTTCACAAGAAAAAAATCACACCTGTCTCCCTTCCATAGGTGACAGGGAACCAGTGAAGGCTCTTTAAGCGAGGGGACGCCTTGGTGACTTGCACTCCAGGAAAAAAATCATCCTGGCAGGGATGGAGAGAAAGGATTGAGGAGGAGGAAGAGAGTAAAACTAGACCTCAAAGTTAAGGCCCAAGCCGAGCTGGGTTTGAAACTTGATGTGTCCAAGGCCTCTTCCAGGCAAAGCAGATCTCAATCTCAATCATAATCACTTCTTTCCCGACCTTTAAATCCTTTTTCTTACCTTCCCCTTCCCTTTTCAGTTTCCACAGAGGGAACAAAGCATGAATACATGGATAGGTATGCCAGACCAACTGTGGGACGTGGCTGGGCACAGCTGGACTTACGTGTGCACATTGGGGTGGAATACAGACCACTAAGGAGTCC